ATTCAGTTAAAATACGAAGACATTCAAAAATTTCTTCTTTCAACCATTCAGCATTGATTGTTTTTTCAGGAGACGTTTTGATCACATATGGAATGTTTTGTTTCAAGCCAACTATCATAAAACAAACTATTCCCTTATACATTTCTCCAGACTCATCACTACCAATCATCTCTCCAGCAAAATACTCCTCACATTTTTGCAAGTACATTTCATCAAAAATCAAGCAAATGTCGTGAGATATCTTACCTTCTAATTTTAAACGTTTTGCACAACTTAGAGCATCAATGTTTCCACTAGTTATTTTTTTAAGTAATGATAATGATGGTAAAGGCAATTCTTCACGCAAAAGTTGGTATGACTGCATAGAAGTATATCGTAATATCAGTGAATACCTTATAATATTGGCTGAATAAATAGGTTTTTTCATATATTTAATTTGCTGTAATTCAGTCAATACAGATGAAAATTGTTCGGCTTGTGATTTAATGTAGGTAGGAAAATTATGAAGCATACTTTTACAAGATAAACGACAATCTCTTCCTTGACAAAACCACTGAGGTAATGGCAGAGGTGAACCTCTGTAAAATAATTTAACATGCATCTCATTGTTTACACGAATGCACTCTGTAACCTCTGGAATAGATAAAGTACTATGACTCAATTTATAAAAAATTACATGATCATCATACTTCAAGAATGAAAAACCATCTGGAGCAAAACTTTCAGTAATATCGTTAAAGCTATTAATCAAATCATTCAATAAAAACTGTTCATATTGATCTGGCTGAAATATTCTTTTAGTTGGTGATTTTCTTAATGAATTAGAAGATTTTATGTTGTAATGAACCTTCTTCAGTCAAATTTGTGCAGTCAAAAATAGTTGGAATAGGCTTTAAATTGTCCAATCTTTTCTATTTACAAATTTAATCCAATATTTTTTTAACTCTTCATTTTTTGGAAACGAAAATACTACTGTAGATACTTCACCATAATTATGATAATTTGAACGACAATTTACGACGCAACATTTGTTAACCATCTTTTTGAACTTCCAAAGCTGCTTTCTTAAAAACACTTTCCCAGAAAACTGGCCTTCTATTTTTTTCTTCAAAATGTAAAATATCCGGCCGTATAAATAAAGTAGGCCATCAAAACTTTGGAGAAAAACAATAAAAATCAAAAATAAAGTTAAATAATAGGTCAATTAATTAGTAATACTGTAAATGTTATCGAGGAAAAAAATTATATTTTTTATTTTGTTTTTAAAAAGACAAAAAGAATTTGATCGATCAAAATTAAAATTTAGGAAAACAAGTTTATTCCTTAGGTGCAGGGCACGATAGGCAAGACAAAACTGATTAAAATTTGTTTGACAAAAAAGTTAAATAATTTTAATTTTTTTTTTTAATAATTTTTTTATTTTTACAGTGTATTTGTTGCTGGGTTTTAAACTGAAAAGATCTTTAAAGACTGGGGGGATAGATTGTTTTTCCACAAATAAACAAACCATAAAATTTTCAAAAAGTTGAGTTCAAATATATTTAAAAATTTCATATCAATAAAATAAGGTTCACAATGAGAAAAACGATCAGCAAAGTTAATTATGCGAATTTCTCGTTTCTGACAGCGATAAAGACGATGTAATTTAATTTTTTCAGTACTTCCCCAGGCAATATTAGCGTAGTTTATATTAAACAGTGAATAAAGGAAATATAAAGTTTTCTTCAGTTTTTCTTATTGAGATAAGTTCGAGCTTTGTATAAAACTCCAATGTTTTTAGAGACTTTAGTGCACACATAATTATTATGTTGATTCCAAGTGATGTTCTCATCGAGATAAACACCTAAGGATTTAATAACAGAGTCTCTTTTTATTTCAACTTCGTCAATAAAGATTTGAGGCAAGTATAAGAGTAAATTTTTTTTTCAAAGCGGATAAAAGAGAGTCCACTTAGTTTTGTCAGTATTTAATGTTAATTTTTTGGATTTGAACCAGCAAGATAAAAGTTCTTTATTTATGGTGGCAATTTAATTATGGTGGCAAAAAGTTCGCTAATATCACTCTTTGAGATAAATAAATTAGTTTCATTTGCGAACACGATGCTTATCAGATTAGTTGCTTTATTTAGATTTTTTATATAAATTAAAAAAAGGAGAGATCCGAGAATTGAACTTTGTGGAACTCCTCAGGTTATATTAAAACAATTGTTGTGATAGTTGTCATTACCAACCAGGACCGTCCCGAGGGGGGGGGGGCGTAGAGGTGTCTAGCCCCCCTATGAATTTTATTAGTCGGAAAAAGGACAATTAGTCGGCATATTGGACACTAAAGTTGGTTATTTACTCCATAGTATTTCAGTTTTTCGAGTAGGATGTGATGGTCAACCGTATCGAAGGCCTTCAAAAGGTCAATAAAGATACCTAATGTATATTTTGATTGTTTAAAAGATTTTGAAATTTCATTTACAAATTCGATTATTGCATGCTCTGTTGAGCTATCCTTTTTAAAACGAAATTGATTAACATAAAGTAGGTTATTTTTGACAAGATGTTTATATATTCTGTTACAAATAATTTTTTCTAGGATTTTTGAAAATACAGAGAGCACAGAGATGGGACGATAATTAGTTATTCGGGATTGGTTACCCTCTTTATAAACAAGTGTAACTTTGGCAATTTTTAATTGTTCTGAAAAAATTGCTTGTTTAATTGAGGCATTGAAAACTTTGAAAAGAAGTTTGCTCAAAAAAATCTATAATCACGTTTTCCATTTATTTCGTCTGGTCTGCATGATTTATTTTTTAAAATAGATTTGAATGCCTTTTCGAGTTCTTCAACTGATAAATCAGAAGATAGCTCATCAGAGCATATGCACTTATCCAATTATAATAAGTAGTCACTAAATAAAGTTCTGGTGATAGGAATCTTATTTGTTTTCCTATAATTTCCTTCATTATTTCCCAAATGCGCTTAGTGTTATTTTTGAATTTGTTAAGTAATTCAGAGAAATAATTCTTCTTTAAGTTTTTACAAATTTTCACAAATTAATATTTAGAGTTTTTGTAAATTTTTTCGTTTGCAGTTGTTTTTGTTTTTAAAATATTTATATATAACTTCTGCTTGATTTTGGAAGATTTTTTAAACCCCTTGGTAACCCAAGGAGAATTCAAACTCTTAGGTTTTGCTTTTTCTTAGATCTTTGAACTATGGGAAAGTTAGCGTCGTATACAGAATAGAAAGTTTTGAAGAAAATTTCATATATGTCGTTTGCATTATCATTTATGTTAATATTATTCCAATGGAGTAAGGATAGTTGGTTTTTGAATAAATTAAGGTTATTCTGATTAACAAAACGTTTCATCAATACTTTTTTATTGTCAATGTTTTTTGCTATATATGCAACGATTGTTACAAAAATGGGGAAATGGTCCTTTAACCGATTTAATAAATTGCTATTAATAGATATGGCAAAAAGAACTCTAAAATTATTAACAATGATATCTTCTCTTAAAACTGAATTTGAACGGGTTTAACTTTAATGGAAATGTCAGTTATACGGTAGCCTTATATGTTAATGCACGTTTTAAAACTAATTTCAAGGAGTTAGTTAAAACACAACGAGCAAAACAACAACAAAATTTATAAGCTCTGAGAAAGATTAAGTTAGTAAAGGTTTAATCCTTCTCAGTGAAAGATTTCTTGACACCGATAAACCATTACCGGTGCTTAGGAGCACTGGTGATAATTCATCTCCAATTCGTACGAAAAAGTAATGCAAATGAAGACGATCAAACCTACCTCCACAAAAACATGCACATAAATGAAGATGTTGAAAAGTAAAGTTTCCAAAATACCGGAAAATTATAATACCGGTTTTCGGTATTCAAAATAGTTTAATATCGGTATAAACCGGTATTGCGCGGTATTTATAAAAATTATTTGAAAAATTTAATTTAATTCTTAAAAAACTTTATAAAAATAAAAAATAAAATAGAAACTTTAAACATTTTTTTTTCTATTTTATTTTATTTTACTTTTTAATATCTAAAAATTAAATGTATTATTTAAAATATTAAAAATATTTTATCAATCAGTAATAAGTCAATAATTCAACGTTCTAGAAAATAGTATTTTAAAAAGAATGATGCATTTAATATATTAAGATTCATTTGGCTCCGAAACTAAGTTGAAATTTTACTAGCAACCGTAAAAGTTCTTTCGCTGGATGTTGACGTGTTTTAAGTTCTTTCGCTGGATGTTGACGTGTTTTAAGTTCTTTCGCTGGGGAATTGTAGTGTTGCAATAATTAAAATACCAAAAAGTAACTAATTAATAAATTTTTTTTACTAAGTTGCGGTTTGCAAACAGCATAACAAAATAACTTCTATTCTGTATCATTCATTTACAAAATTCAAACACAAAAACTAGATTGATACAAATTGCTACCATTATTAAAATTTTAAAAACCGTAAAAAACCAGTATTGTGAAACGGTTTCGGTATTGGAAAAATTTAGTTGAATACCGGTATTGAAAACCGTGGAAATTCTATTAAAAAGAAAAGTCGTATTAACTATTATTGTTGTTTAATAATTATTATATTATTATTTTTATTTATATCAATTATTTTTTCATCGATGATATATCGACTATATCATTGACACGCTTACAGTTAACGTTAACTTTCCCAAGTTCCATATCATGCATATTCATTTATTTGGTGATTACTCAGCTTGTCCCACGCAGTTGCTCTACTTACCCCATTGGAGTAGGTTAAGCAGCTCGGTAAACGTTAGGCAACATTTTTTTAAAAAAGCTAAAAAATATACTCAATTCTTGACCAATTTTCAGCAGATTAAATTATTTTTTTAATAGTGAAAAAAATATTTTAATTCGACGCATTATTCGTGAGATTTATTAAAAATTATTCAACTAGCCCACCTCTACTCTAATAACAAAAAAAAAAAAGAAAAAAAAAAAAAACATTCCAAATAAAACAATTATTTCAAATAGCTCTATTTATAAAATTATTTTATTTACTTTATTTCATGTAAAAAAACTTTATTTATTACTTTATTTCATGTAAAAAAACAACATAACAATGCACAGCCCCGCACAAAAACACGCAAAATACTCTATCATGAAATAGTTAAAAATAAGAGAAGAAATAAAAAAAGTAGAATCGAAAATGTGCAACATTATTATAATATCATTTTATAATATATATGATATGAAGAAGACTAATGGGACAGTAATTAGATGTATATCTATCTATCTATCTATCTATCTATATATATATATATATATATATATATATATATATATATATATATATATATATATATATATATATATATATATATATATATATATATATATATATATATATATATATATATATATATATATATATATATATATATATATATATATATATATATATATATATATATATATATATATATATATATATATATATATATATATAATCTTTAAAAAGTATTAAATTGTTTAAATTTATGTATTATATTATATATAACATATCATGAGTTTACCAAAATTAAAAACCAAAACGTATTTTAAACTTTTAACACACAAATGAATTTAAAAGCTAAAAAAAACTACAAAAAACACCGATATAGAAAATTCAAATGAAAAGACAGTTGCTTATTTGCAATCCTGAGAACTAAATAGTCTCATAGCCTCATCGGACTAATTGGTTCAACAATGTTATATGAACAATCAAATCAACTGCATTATAAAACCAAAAATGTTAATTTCAAATAGCATGACATCATTTTCTTATTACATGCATTTTATGAAAAAAAAAAAAAAATTACATGCATTTTATGAAAGTATACATTTTACATAGTAATAAATCAAATCTAGTTCCATGTTTACTCTACAAAAGTTAATTTTTTATTTACGGTCTCCTTATATGGACTGCATGGAGTTGTAATTAGGGTTATTTTGCTGACTTTTATTTAAGATGTTCCTTTTTGGCGCAGAAGATATATGTTGATACACTAAAAAAAAAAAAAAAAAAAAAAATCATATAGGTGCACAGTTCGAATTTAATTTGCTAGTTGACGATAAAACAAAAATTTAGTTGAATAAAAAATAAAAAAAACAGATTGTTAAATATAGAAATGATTAAAAAATTCTGATAAATTTACGACAATAATTCAAACTTCTTAAGCTTTGCTCTCACTCAGTTTGACCAAATATATAGGAAACAAAATTACCAACAAATAAGGAAAAACCTTTATTCCTTCTCAATGATTCCAATTCAAACCTAACTCTTCTCAATGCTTTACCTTACATTGTGCTGCTGCAATTTCCAATCAAAACCATTACTTCCATATCTATCAGCAATACAAGAAAACAGATATCTATATACTATTGCTAGAAACCATTGTCAAAGCCTACTTATCTAAGGTCATGAAATCTTGCATTTTATCTCGAAAATTAAGCTCTCACTTCTTGAGAATCTTTAACAGTATCAATAATAAGGGCAAATCTGTAATTCCACCTCTCTTGTACGGTTCAGATTTTGTCACCTCACCTAAAGACAAAGCTGAACTGTTGTCTAAGAACTTCTCATTAATATCATCTCTTGGATCTACTAGTTGCATTCTACCTAATATTTCCAACAAATGGATTGATCTATTGCTTGAAATTCGTATTATGCTTTTGTATCTAAAAAGATTTCCTGCTTAGACTCTTCTACAGCTTGTGATCCGAACAACATACCTGTTGTAATCTTACAGAAGTGTTCTCCGGAGCTGTTGTCTATACTTTCAAAACTATTTAACAAGTGCTTGTCATAGTCTTTTTTGACAAGCACTTGTTAAATAGTTTTGAAAGTATAGACGACAGGCATCTGTTATCACTATTTAGGCATCTGTTATTCCTATTTTCAAAAATTCTAGAGAGCGACCTGACACATTTAACTACCGTCCCATTTGTCTTCTTTCATCATAAGCAAGGTTTTTAAAATTTTAATTAACAAACACTTTAACTCTTATCTTGAATTTAACAACTTACTTTCTGATCATCAATATGGATTTCGATCTTCTTGTTCTACAGCTGATTTGCTAACAGTTATGACCGATAGGTTTTATCGTACATTAGATAGAGGTGGAGAGATTAAGGCTATTGCTCTTGACATTTCTAAAGCTTTTGATAAAGTTTGGCATGCTGGTCTTCTCCATAAGCTTTCTTCTTACTGTGTATCTGGTAACAGCTTAAGCTTTCTTCTTACTGTGTATCTGGCAACATCTTTAAGGTTATTGAATCCTTCCTTTCCAACCGTAGTATAAAAGTTGTCCGTGATGGAAAGTTGTCCTTGATGGTTCAATCCTTGGCCCTATAATTTTTTAAATTTACATTAATGATCTTCCTGATATTCTCACATCTAAGGTGGCATTGTTTGCTGATGATACTACCATTTATTCTTGATAAGAAGCCAATGCTCTCTGATTGGTTGGAGGGGGCATTTGAGCTTGAAAAGGATCTCACTTCAGCTCACCATGGGGCTCATAGTGGCTGGTGAACTTTAATTCAGATAAAACCCTTTTTTTTCAGCCTATCGTTATTACAATAATTTATATCTTTCTATATTTATGAATGGTGATATACTCGACGAGTCATCTACCATTCATCATTAAGGATTAACTCTTACTTCTGATCTTTCTTGAAAAGCATATATCAAATCCATGGCAAAATTAGCATCTGCTAAGGTTGCATCTCTTTATCATGCTCGCCACTTTCTTACTACGGATTCTATTTTTTATCTCTATAAATCTCAAATCCGCCCTTGTATGGAATGCTGTTGCCATATCTGGGGCGGATCTTCCAATAATGCCTTTTCTCTCTTAGATAAAGTGCAAAATTGCATTGTAAATATAGTTGGACCTTCAATCTCCAACCTCTGTAAACCTCCAACCATTGTAAATATAGTTGGACCTCCAAATCTCCAACCATTATCACATCGTCGTAATGTTGCTTCTCTTTCTCTTTTCTACAAATACTATAACGGGGACTGCCCCAAAGAGTCAGCATCTATTGCGCCATCTACTAAAACTTATTCTCATGTTACTCGTCATTCAACTAAGTCTCATCCTTTTTCTGTAACTATTCCTAAGTGCTCCAAAACTCTCATTTGTCTAGTTTTTTTCCTCGAACATCAGTTCTTTGGAATTTGTTTCTTTCATCTTACTTTCCTGATTCATAAGACTTGCTATCTTTAAAGTCATCTGTCAATCATTATCTTGCTCTATAAACTTTATCTTTTCTCTTCCAGTAACTTCCAACTCAATTTATATATATATTAGGGGATGCCAAAAAAAAAACATTTTTGGTCGCGGTTTAAAAACCTGTTCTATACATAAAAATAAGCAAAAATATGAATTTTTAATGTTCTATCTCAATTCTAGGTGCCAGAAGATTAAATAAGGATTTCACAAAAATACGCAAAGTATAGTGAAATTACGTGAAAGATGGCGAAATAACAAGATTGCACCATTTTGTGTTTAGTTTAAGTTTACATTCACTACATGGCACATCTATTATAAATTGTTAATAATTTCTTATAGCTAAATAATTAAAAATAGTTAAAATAAGATTAACTTTTCAGAAAGAAATGGGTCCGAAAAAGAAGAAAAATGCGCATATAAGTGAGGGTGTCAGACGACCATTATATCTGTTAACTAACCCAATTTCACAGCTACCAAATACACAGCTTCCAACCAATGGTAGTATTTTAAGATATTATCAATATCTAATTTCAAGTAAGAAGAAAAGATTTATCAAAACACAAATTAACATGGCCTGTAAGAAGCAAAAAGGAACAAGGAACTTGGTATGCAAAGGTAAGACATAACTATAAAACAAACGTTTTTATTCCTAAATTTAAGAGGACTAAAATGTTAAATAAATGAAATATTTTTAAAAACCTAATTTAGGTAGAGATTTTTGTGCCCTTGAGGCGCAATCAAACTGCTTAATTAGACAAATAAGCATCATTTGGACCAAAGCAGGATTTGAAGCATACATCATTTCAGAATATTGTTCAATTCTTGACAAACTTCAAGCTCTACACAAGAAGTATCAACTTTTAAAAAAACGTGTTACTCTGAAAGATACCAAAGATACTAGATAAGATATTAAGAATGAATTCATTTCAACAATGGAACAGTTGTTTGACATAGGCAAAGATAACTTAGAGCAACTGATGAGAAGTGACAAAATAACACCAAGAACACCAGCTGCTATTGAAGAAGACCTAAATTTCTATCTAGACCAGCAAACAGACAGGTAAGAATATTAACTATAATGTAGCCTTTTTTGTAAATTTCTCTATATTAATCAAAATTGTTAGTAGCGCAGCTACTTTATGTAGGGCATTCAGCCTGTCTGTCTGTCTTTCAGCTATCCATCTGTCCGTCCATCAGTGTAAGTTATTGCATTCTATGTTATGCCTTTTGATTTTAGAAGGTGGTTTATTTCTAAGGCAGATAAAGAGCTAGCTACCATTATTGAGAAACGTCTAGAAAGGTATAAAAGACAAGAACAATTGAGAATGAAGTACCTAGAGGAGAAACAAGCTGAAAAAGATATAAATCAGCTTCTCCACCAATTGATGAAAGTGATGAAGACATGACACCAACTAAGAAAAGGCAAATCAAGTGTCATAAAACTGTTAAAAATTATTCTTCTTAAAAATGAAATCCTAACTTATTTTTCTAAATATTTTAGATACAAGTCTGGTCCAGCCACTTTGGATATGAATATGTTTGATCCAACTTTGACAGATCAAGAAGACTCATTCTAAGGTAGTGATGATGACTTTAAATATGGTGCTGCTCAAGTTTAAACCCCAAAAGTCTTACCTAAAGGCTCAATGCAAGTAAATAAAAAGACCACAAGAGAAGAACTGATGGCAGTAACTACACCTATTTGTGCTAAAGGGTTAATCAACATTGAAATACAAACCTGGCTGTTATCGTCTGTTGTTAATTACTTGGGAGGAGATGTTAATCAGATGGGCATTTCTAAATCCATTATTTCAAGAGAAAGAACAAAAGTAATTAAAAATCAAGGTAATTTTTAAAAGAACAAAGGATATTACACCTAAAGAAAAAGTCTTTTATGCCAACTTTTTGCCAGTCAAAATTAAGTTTTTTTTTCAAATCACAAAGGTTTTTCTTCAGATGCGATATTTCTTGTCCCTGATTTTCTAATGTAAATTTATTATATATGAAAGTAATGATACAAAATCTTACTATACCTTTAAAGATTGGTATATTTACCTAAAAATAAACCATCATTACAATAATATATTGTATTAAAAAATTATCTTTATTTACTATTAAAGGTTATACAATCAGAGAAAATTACAGAGAGATAATGGCTGGAAAACACTTTGTTCTCCACTTTAATGGCAAGCTGTTAAAACATTTAGATGAAAATACCTTGCAACCTGTTGTAAGAGATAGAGTTGTTGTCAGTGTTACCAGCCCTGAATTTGAGAATAAAAACGATCTCTTACTTGGTGTTTTACCAGCAGAGTCTGGCAAAGCTGTTGATGAAACAAAAAATTATTCACAACTTACTTGAGTTCTTTGAAATATGCAATGAAATTTTCGCAATTGTTGCAGATACTACCAATGTTAATACAGGAGCCCATGCAGAAATTCTGGGCAGATTTTGGTATATTTTGGGAAAACCTGTTTTCTGGCTGTTATACAGACATCACATGTTTAAAATAGCAATACATAGGGCAATTGTAATTGTCCTTGGAGTTACTGCTGCACCACAAGGACAGTTCTTTAAAGATTTCAAGAAAGACTGGGAAGTATATCACGCTATAGTTCAAAAAGTTGACCTGTCTGAGTTTAAGAAATTTGATGAGAAGAAGCTGGAAGTTGGATCTGAACTTCATAAGCTTTACCTGGATGCTCAGGAATATCTGAAGTTTGCTCTTAATCACGAAGTGTTTTCAAGAGATGATTACAATCATCTA